CAACTTGAAAGGATTCAGAAATTACTTACAAGAATGGTGCAGAAATTGGAGGGTTTGAGCTCTAGGGAGAGGCTGAATAGGCTGGGGTATTTTCCCTTGAGTGTCAGAGGCTGAGGGGGTGATTTTATAGAGGTTTATAAAATTATGAAAGGCACGGATATGGTGAATAGTCAAGGTCTTTTTCTCAGGATAGGGAAATCCAAAACTAGAGGGCATAGGTTTAAAGTGAGAGGGAAAAGATTTGAAAGGAACCTGAGGGGCAACCTTTTCACACACAGATTGGTGAATTATAGAATGAGCTGCCAGAGGAGATGGTGGAAGCTGGTACAATTACAGCATTTAAAAGGCATCTGGATGGATACATGAATAGGAAGGGTTGGGAGGGATATGGGCCAAATGCTGGCAAATGGGACTAGGTCAGATTAAGATATCTGGTTGCCACAGATGAGTTGGATCAAAGGGTGTGTTTCTGTGCTGAATACTCTATACTGTGCTGTAACTCTATGACTCAATGGATAACGTTGCTGATGGCCATTAATTACTGCAAATGAAGCAGCATAAAGTTACAGTCCGTGCTGCCTTCTACTCTTAAAATACCATTCTCATTTGGGAATTCAACTATTTTTCCTGAAAGATAAGTAATTGGGAAGCTTACAGTTCAGATTAAACCTTAAAATTGCACTCATGGTATGACGATACTATGAATTTGAGAAGTGTATTTTATTCTGGTTTCTTTTATGAAGAAAGTTGTGATAGAGGTGGAAATCAGTCTACTCAGATCAAATAAAGTAAACAGTTTGTGAGGTCTTGGGTTTTGTTTTAAAGTTGGAACAATAGAAGCAACCTGAATGGGTGGAGTCAGGCTTTCGCAGACCTTGGAACAAAAACATAAGTTGCTGGAAAAGCTCAGCAGGTCTGGCAGCATCTGTGAAGAAAAATCAGAGTTAATGTTTTTGGTCCGGTGACCCTTCCTCAGAACTAGATTTTTTCACAGATGCTGCCAGACGTGCTGAGCTTTTCCAGCAACTTCTGTTTTTGTTCCTGATTTACAGCATCCACAGTTCTTTCGGTTTTTATTCCCACAGAATGAGGATTTTTAGTTTTAGTTATTCAGTAGCAGTTGTTTCTGGGGTCTTGAAGCTGGGTTTGGAAGCTGCAATACACTCTCTCTGCTAATCTCTCTCTCAGCATTTTTTCTTGATGATTTTCCTCCTCAACTGGAAAATTGCCTGTGAGACCATCTATTTTACTCAATTTGCCTTTGACAAAGGTATGTTTATGGGATGTTATTACATTGGAACAGTTACTGCTTAGTAGTTAAGAGTCTATTATTCTGTCATGTTTTCCAAAAGGGTTAAGTTATTCCAATTGTTCTCTGTTCTGTTTGTATTTTAACTACAGTATACAAATAAAGTATGTTTTGCTTCAAGACTGGTAGTTTGACCAATCTAATTTCATCCAGAAGCAACGCCTGGCACTTTCCTTCAAAATAAGAAAAAAAAAAATGAGGGTTTAGCCTATTTCTTAATATATTTTGAGGGTGTTTGGTCTGGTCCATAATTAATTGGGGGCCTTTGTCAGGATCAACTCTCAAATTCTAGGTTGTGTTTAGGGTTGTTGGGGTTTTTTACTTGGTATGGACTACCCCTGGAAATATAATTGGTTCAAGGGTCAAATTTATTCAAGGAAGTTATGGATAATTAAGTAATAAAACAATTCAAATCCACTACACACCATCCAGAATCATAGGGAGCATAGGAATAGTGGCATCAAACAGTAAAGACCATGTTGAGGGCTTATAGCCAAGACCATCTAGAAGACTGGATAAAGGAATTCCAATTGTATTTTTTTTCAATGAGGGATGCATCAAGTGAATTAACTAAACTCGGTCTATTTGAATTAGTTTTGGGGCATGAGGTGAGAGGACCACTGAAATTAATTAATGAGAATTTGCTGAGTCAGAGTTCAGAGACCACACATTTGGATTATGTGTCAAATTTTAGGGAAAGATTAAATAGAGCAGATGAGTTGTGTAGACAGCATTTGAAAGTAGAACACCATGTGATGAAGCAGGAAGCAGATAAGAAATCACAAATTCGTAGTTTTGCTAGAGGAAATAAAATGTTAGTGTTACTTCCAGTGGTAGGTGATCCTTTAAAGGCAAGGTTTAGTGGACTTTATCAAATCGAAAGGAAATTGTGTGAGGTGAACTATTTAATAAGAATGCCAAATGGAAAGAAATCTCACAGAGTGTGTCATGTGAATACGCTCAAAAGGTATTTTGATAGGGAAGGAATGCATAATGAGAATGTAGTACTGTTTACAACATAGAATGAAGAACCAAGTTCAGACGATTCTGAATTGGACATTCCTCAAATTAAATTGGACAATGATGAAGTTCGAAAAAATTGTGATAAATTATTGAGTTACCTTCCAGATGTAGAGATAGGCAATGCCATTCCAATTAAGCAACATCCTTATAAACTTAATCCTTTAAAGTTGGCACAGGTTCCAAAAGAGACTGAACACATGCTCAAAGACAATATAATTGTCAAAGAAATTTCAGACAACTCCAGCAGAATGCCACCAAACACATCTTCCCCTCACTCCCCCATCTGCATTTCACAGGGACCATTCCCTCCAGGACACCCAAGTACATTCCACAACCACCAACACCAAACCCCCTTTCCCATGGCACCTTCCAATGTAACCGCAGAAGGTGCAACACCTGCCCCTTCACCACCTCCCTGCTCACCATCCAAAGGGCTAAACAGTCTTTCCAGGTGAAGCAGCACTTCACCTGTATCTCCTCCAATCTTGTGTATTGTATTCGCTGCACCCAACGTGGCCTACGCTACGTTAGAGAAACTAAACACAGTCTGGATGACCGCTTTGGAGAATACCTCCGGTCTGTGCGCAAGCAGGACCCCGACATTCCTATAGTCGGTCATTTTAATACAACATCCCACTTGTGTGCCCACTTGTCTGTCCTCGGCACGTTGCAGTGCCCAGTGTTGGCCACTCCTGAATACACCGAAGACATTCAACATGGTTATCGATGTGAGTGATTTGAGTGTCAGTGCTGTAGTCTTACAAGGAGACAATGAGAAGAAAGAAAGACCTATTAAGTATTTTTCCAGAAAACTGAACAATCATCAACAGAAATATTCCACATCGAGGAGACTTTGAGCTTTGTTTTGGCGTTTCAGCATTTCAACAGTAATGTGTCTGAGATAATTGGATATGCTGATCATAAGCACTTAAATAATTTGGAAAAATTTAAGGATAAAAATTCCAGACTGTTTAGATGGAACTTATAGTTGCATCCATTCAATTTGAAAATAATACACGTGGCAGGACAAGAGAACATATTGCCGATGCGTTATTGTGACTTTGATAAAGGAAGACGGAGGCGTTTGGCGGCAGGTAAAAATGGACTGAAATGGATTGTAGTAGCGAATGTTTGCATGCAATGTATATGTATTGAAATGTGCAAATAGTATGTTGTCCAGGACAGGGTGTCTCTAAGATCCTGCAGAGTCCTTGGCCAGCGTACACAATAATTTACCCAGGCACATTAGCATGTACTGGGAAAGGACCACACAGCACAAGCCTGCAGTCAGTGAACCAGGTCGTGATTTTATTTGAAGACAACAAAGGTAAGAATTAATTTTTACAATTTTAATAACTCTATTTTTAACTATCCAATTCTTTTGAAACTTGAAATACTTCCCAGATACTCGTAACTTTCGCTGATCTGTCAAATTCTTCAGTCTAATCCACTCTTCATGGATTCTAATTCACTCTCTGGTTGGAAGGCGAGCTGCTCTGGTCACTTCCTTATCCCAACATACCCTTAGGTCGGCTGAAGAGTGGGGTCCCCTTAAGTCCTGCCAACCATCCTGTTTACCTACTGGAACATTCCAAAGACTTGACCAATCAGAGGTATCGAATTAATTGGTTTTATCACCTTGAAATGCTGCTAATGGCTCTTGATGACTTGCTTAACTGTGAAGCCTTTGATGTGCCTGCTGTTGGGCCTGGAAATCCACTTTTGACCCAAAATATACACCTGGTCTTTTATTTTACTGAGACATGTCTGCCCCATGCATCTAGTGTTGTTGGTTTGTCAGGAAGGGTTGAATTGCCCTTTCACACTTCCTAATATGTTCTGGTGCCTCTCTGGTTTTCGGTTGTCTGGGCTCAGATCTTGCAAGGAATTGGCCCTGGGCAGAATTGTCTCTTGTGTGTCTGTCTTGGCTCAGACATTCCCAGCATACTTTGCTTTTTTGGCCATTTTTATGACCTGTTCATTTCAGTTGCTGTGCCTGTATTTCTGGCCTCCCTTTTTAATGTCTTTTTTCACTTGAGCAATCGCAGGCTACTACAAGCGTAATACTAAAGGTTTTTTTTAAAAATGAAGCCATCTTTGTATATTGATGTCATTGTTTTTAAGGGGGGAGGTATATTTTGTCCTTTTTTTAATGAAGGAAGGTTGACACAGAGCCACCAATTGGTCCAGTCAGAGTCAATAAAGTTAACAGTTTGTGAGGACTTGGGTTTTGTTTTAAAAGTTGGAACAATAGAAGCAGCCTGAACGGGTGGCATCAAACTCCCACAAAATAAGGATTTTTAGTTTTAACTTTTCCCCAGCAGTTGTTGCTGGGGTCTTGTAACCTGATTTTGAAGCTGCAGTACATCTCTCCTTGCTACTCTCTCTCTCAGAGGTTTCTTTTGATGTTTTTCCTCTTGGACTGGAGAATTGCCTGTGAGACAATCTATTTTACTGAATTTGCCTTTGCCAAGGGTGTGTTTATGGGGTATTACTATTTTGGGACAGTCACTGTTTAGTTGTTAAATAATCTATTATTCTGTTAAGTTTTCCAGGAGAGTTAAGTTATTCTAATTTCTTCTTTTGTTTGTTGTATTTTAACTATCGTGTAAGAATAAAGTGTGTTCTTCTTCAAGATGGGGAGTTTGACAAATTGAATTTCATCCAAAATGCAATGCCTGGCACTCCCCCTTAAAATAAGACAAAGTTACAGTCTAGGCTATCTTCTTAATATATTTTGATGGGGTTTGGTCTGGTCTATGACAATAGCTCGTCCAAGGAATTCGCTCTCTAAATCTCTCCATCTCTCTCTTCTCTTTTAAGACAGTCTTCAAAATTGATCACTTTTGTCAAGTTTTTGGTCATGTGTACTTTCATATCTCAGCATGTTTTTTTTAAAAATCCATTAACCTTCTGTGAATATCTGTGGGAACTTTTATTCCATTAAAGACACTATATGCATTAAAAATTGTACCATTATTACTTTGCTATCATCTGTCTTTACACACTAAGTCAGTCAGTAAAGATAGTACATCAGATTTCTACTCTGAATTGAAATAGTTTATCTTGCATTAGAAGCATTATAACTGTTCCTTGGAAGCAAAATAAACTCAACAAAGCTTTCTGCTGCTGTGACTATCCAGTGACCAGGCCTAGAGTGCTCAAGTAGAAATTGAGTATAGTGATTGAATCAACGTCACCCAACTAGACCTCATAGAAATTGCATTCCTTGATTGGAGATATTAATCTGGTCCAAACAGGGAGCCCTGGTTTACAGATAAGAACAGGAGTGTCAGAGATTCCACTCACTCTGTGTGCTGTCTCTGACGAGGCAGTGCTAGAGTCAAGGAGTTTCCATGTGTAAATAAAGGATGACTTGGAGTTATTTCATTGGGCAAATCTGATTTAGCTGTGAACATTAGCACTAGTCTGCCAATATTCAAAACCTGAAGTCAAACACGAAAGTGAACAGCTTGGATGATTTAGAAGAGAGACCCTACAATCTAATGAGTCCTACCCTATGCTTTTAGGAGAAAATGGTAAGGGAAGTGGCATAAATAGGAAGCAGTGAAAGAAACATTCGAGCAATTTTATAGAAAACAGGAAAAGTAACTTGCCAATAAAGGCAAATTCACACTGTGCTCTCTAGAAAGTCTACTGATATCTGTGATCAATTTTCTTCTTGCTAGTGTTATTAAGCCTGCTACTTCAGAGCAGACATCATGAGCTGCTTTAACTTCTCAACATCACATTTTGTCATAATAAAAGCTTGATTTTCTTTTTGCAGCAGGTTAAGTGTATCCACAATCATCATTCCTCTGGTCACTGAACCTTGTAACTCCACGCTTACTCCATATCGTATGTGTTGTGTGACAACACTCTCATCAATTGCAGCTGCCATTGCAAAAGAATCACAGGACACAAAGCCAGGTTCAAAATACATCTCTCCTTTGCTTTGCTTGCCTTTGGCAAATTTTTTACTGTGTGCCGTTATCTTCTTCATGAAGGAAGCTTTCTCAGTGTCTTGGTTTACCCACTCCTCAAAAAACTCCTGTAATGGATACAATGAAAAGCAAACAACTTTGTACATCATCCAAGGTAATTATCTGGAAAACCAAAGAACAATCTATCAACGGTTAAAATTCTTTGCAATACGAGGTACCTCTCATTATAAGAGTAAATATCTTAATATATTGAAAACGTTTCTCATGCTTACTAGGTAAATTGAAAATCCACAGGTTTTACATTTACAGCCTCAGAGGAAAGAGCAAAACCACTGTATTGATGGGGAAATGCAGACCTATAGTACTATAATGGTAATTTTTAGATTATTTTTCCCATTAACAACCTCATATTAATTTACTATCAGTCATGAATAACTCTACCTTTGTGAATGGATTTAAGCTACAATTGAATATATATTTGAAGGGGATAAAATTACAGGGCCAAAGCAAATGAAGAAAGGAATGGTGTAATTGGATAGCCCATGAAAGAGCAGTTAAAGGCACAATGGGTTAAATTACATCCTTCTTTGGCCTATTATTCTATAATACTAAGAAAGGAAGCAGACAGCTACGCAAGTCAGAATTGAAAAATAAGCAGTGACAGCAGACCCTTGTAAGTGTAAAATGGGCCACATTGACACCAAGATCAATGAATACAAATTGGACAAGTTTGTAGGTGGTTGCAAACCAGGAGAACTAATGGATTGAGAGGAGGCACCTCTGAAATTGTAAAAACAAATTGGACAAGTATGTCATGGCAGAATAATGGGCATTCAGATTCAATATTAGAAAGTACATAGTTCAACCCATAACAAGGAGTACTGGTGGTCTTTCAATAGTACTTCTACCTTAAGAATATCCAAAGACTCTGCTTCCACCTTCTTTTGAACAAGAGAGTTCCACATCCATCTTGCCAAGATCCCTCAGGATCTTAAATGTTTCAGTCATTCAAGTCACCTCTTAGACTTCTCAACCGCACAGATACAAGCAGAGCATGCCTAACCTTTATTCATAAGACAACCCATCCATACCAGGCATTAGTCTAGTAAGCCTCTGAACTGCTTCCAATGTGGTTCCATCCCTTCTTAAATAAAAAGACTAATGCTGTATACAATAACCCAGATGGAGTCTCACCAAAGTCCTGTGCCCCTGAGGCATAGCCTCCTTGATTTGGTAGTCAATTCCCCTTGCAATTAACAATAACATTCTATTAGATTTCTTAATTAATTGCTGTACTTGCATATTAACTTGTTGAGATTTGTCCACTAGGACACACTATTTAAGTATTATGATTTTTTATTCTTCTACCTGAAATTATTAATTCCATATTTTCCCATATTATATTCCATTTGCTGGAGTATTCCCCACTCACTTAACCTAGTTATATTCCTTTGTAATTTCCTTATGTTCTTTCCACAATGTACTTTCCCTTTGGTCATCAACAAATTTAATATCTACACCTTTGGTGCCTTCATAGCAATAGTCTACCCAATGAAAGTATGGGTCAAAATGAGATGATCAATGAGCACGCAGAGGGAATGCCTGATTTACCAAATGAGACAAGGATGTTGCCTATGTTGCAGTAAAGAAAGAGACAATGGGAATAAAATTGTACAGGACAAAAACAGATAAAGACGATGGACTTAAACGTTGGCAGTCCTCAGTCATCCAACAGAGGAGAGGTAAAAAAATGACAGGCTCTAACCACAATCTTTCAATCAGCCTCAGATATGGGGTTGGGATGGCGAGGTGATAATGGTCTGAAGGATTGAAAATCTTGCCCCCTGTTTTAAAAAGAGGATAGGGTGAAAACTAGCAACAGCAGCCTAGTCTGGATGATTTTAAAGTCAATGAACCAGAACAAAATTAATTGTCATTTGGAAAAGTGTGAGCTAATCTTCAAATATCAGCAGATTTGCTAAAGACAAATTGTATTTGATTAACTTGATTGAGTTAGTTGATGTACTAGCAGAGAATCTTGAGGGTAGTGTAGTGAAATTACAGTAACTCCCAATTTAACATGGCCCCCATTTAACATTGCTTGGTCTAATGTTGGATTGTTAAATGAAGCGTCCATCCTTGTTTAATATGGCAAGATCCATCTTAAATTTGTTTCATGTCTGGCTGACATAATGATGTGCGACTCAACCGGTGCTATTGTGGACATCTCCCACTCCCTAACACCCCACTTTTTGCCAATCATTCTGCCACAGCCTGTCCTGCTCCCAAACCTATTCTCTTGCTGACAGTCAATGCTTGTGGCCTTTGTGCTGCCTAACGTATGCTGCTAATCCTCGGGCTTGTGGCCCTTGCCACTCCCAAACTCACCCACTGACTGACTGCCCACTTCCTGACTGTCCTGCTCGTTCCTCTCCTGCACTTGATTTGGTGTTCACAGTCCAGATCCATGTGCTATCTGAAGCTGCAGGTCTGATAATGCAATTTTGTGAGTCCTGAAGGTGCTGAAATGCCACTGTTTTCAACGCCTTCCTGTCCTGAACTCTCGCTGTCAGCAAAAGCTTTGGAAATGAGCAACTAGAGGCAGGAGTAGCAGCTCTAACCATCAATAGCACTGTCAATGAGCTGGCAAGGGCATGAAGGGCTAAATGGCCTACTTCCATGAAATATTGAAACAAAACTCAATTTAGCAAAAATAACTTGCATTTATATAGTGTTTTTAATACAGATAACAACATCTCAGGATAGTTTGTAGATGTGTGTGGAAAGAATGAATGCTAAGCTAAAGAAGGAGATATTGGGATGGGTCAAAAGGTTTTCAAGAGGATCATAGGAGAACAGGGAGCTGGATGGGTTGGTGAAAGCAGAGGAGATGACAGGACAATGGCACTCAAGTCAGTCCATGTGAAAAAGTCATCTGCTCAGATTCTGTGATAGGACAGTGGGATTTTGCATCAGAGGCATTGTAGAGATGCAAGAAACATTTTCTGGTAAGAAACAGGAATGCCTCTCCTTACCTGAGGTGTTTCGCATTGAATAAATGAAGGATCATTAAAAACATGACCTTGAAGCCTTAATATTAAAAATTTAGTAAACCTACAGATGCAAAATGCGGCAGGATTGATGAACCCAACCAAACACTTCACAAGACAAGGGCCAAAAATCAAACAGAGATTGTCCAGTGCTTTAAAAGGAGCTCTCTCTGAAGGTTCTTTGGAGAAATATGCCATACACTGTTCTACAATGATCCCTAGATGGTTTACATATAAAGATCCCAGACTCTGATTTGTTCGAAGTCTCTCTTAGATTAACGATAAAAATGTAGTGCATTGAAACATCTGCATTTCCTCCAGATGCAGATGTTACCATTTCTTTGAAATCTTGTACATTACATTGAAGCCTAGCAATTCAGTCCTAAGATCCCAGCATCAGCAAACTGCTGTTACTTGTTGTAATTACCCTGTGGCAGTATAACTTTGCTCTTCCTCTCTTTAGGTTAATAAAAACCAGCAGGGGAAATGTGTCTAATTATCAATCTCCACAGCAGAGCACACTGCTTTCACATGGGATGCATCTCATGTCCATCAGCAATTTCTTTACTTTCCAAATCAAAAGACGTGTGCATTGTTATGATCCCAGCTGATGTTATTACCAATTAAGTCAGATCCCAGATTAAAACTTGTCTTGATAGATAACAAGGTGTAGAGCTGGATGAACACAGCAGAAATCAACTTGGCTACAGTTAGTTATTAACTTCAAACACACTGAAAATCCACATGCTACAAACAAAAGACAAAAAACCAAATTTACGATAAATTATACGAGAAGTATATATAAATAAGAGTTTCCATAACAATATGTATCCAATGATCTTATTTTACATTTAAGATTATTTTTTCAACAGCTTACCCAAGGCAGCGCCTGACGAAGACAATATTCCCAAGTCGCTATGTACATGGGGCACACAAAATGATTCAAGACAATATAAGCTGCTTCAGGATCTGCTGCGAAGTTAAATTCAGAACAGATTGCAACATTCCCCCTGCCTTCAAAGATAAAAACATGAAATGAAATTAATTCCTTACAACGTTAACAGCTTCTTAATCCAGGCACATTTGGGGAAAATAAATGCTTGGCATTGATTGATAAATATCAACATTGGATGGAATTGTCAATAGCCAAAATATCAAAAGCACATACTTTAAGAAATCAAGTGCACAACGGACCACTGTCACATTTCAGAAATTCTGAGACTGTTTCCATGGAGAGAGTTTGATGCAGTATTGGTTACAAAATACTACTCCTGAGCTGAACTTGAAGATTTAAACTTGATGAAGCTAAGCCCGGAAGGTATGGCTACACACTGAAAGGGACAGAATTGTAATATACTCATTATTTTGTGTTCGCAAATGCAGTTGTATTGATTGGAAAAATTTGACAATGAAATAGGTGATTTATGTTAACCTTCTTCTCCCTGGGTGTGCTATCAGACCACCTTCATGAAAACAATGCAAACAGGTTCTTCTGCAATATTTGGATCATGCTGTTTTAGAAGCTGTTATAGGACAAAGAGAATCGACTCGTCAAAGTACTCAGAATGCTCATAAGAATGTTTGATGCCACACAATCTACAAGGTATTTATGGTAGGACAAATTTGTAAAAGCTACTATCTGCAGTAATACTGTTATTCCAGATGTAGTTTATTAACACAGGAAATTGTTATCTGTTCAGCATGATAATATGGTTCACAGACATTTTAGAGATACAAGATGATCAGTTTTCATAGAATCATAGAACCCCTAAAGAGTGTAAACATGCCCTTCGGCCCAACAAGTCCACACCGACCCTCAGAGCATACCACCCAGACCATTCCCCATAACCCACCTAATCTGCACATCCCTGAACACTATGAGCAATTTAGCATGGCCAATCCACCTAATCTTCACATCTTTGGACTGTGGGAGGAAACTGGAGCACCCAGAGGAAACCCACGCACATACGGGAGAATGATGCAAACTCCACACTGTCACCTGAGGGTTAAATCGAACCCAGGTCCATGGCACTGTGAGGCAGCAGTGCTAACCACGGAGCCACTATGCCACTGTTTTCTTGAGACAAAGATAAGGGAGAAAATATGAATATGGATTACTATAAAATAGTCCAGGCATTAGGAAAATTACATACAATAGGAATACAGAATCAATTGTATACAACAAGATAAATGTCCTGTACTCTAATTGAGAAAATATTATTTTCTGAGTTTCCCCAATGTCTCATTGAATGAGTGCACACATAAAGGGCTGTTGTGTTGTAATGATCAGGAAACGATCAGCTTGGATGTCTGTTTGCTCTGGTCATTAGCTTACATCAATCAACTTAGCACTGTAATTAGGACATAGGGATAAAAAAGATTCCCAAACCTGGATTACTGCAAGTACATATATTCAATATCAGGTGAGGATTTAGTCAGGTTCAGGTGTGATGCAACCCACACTTAAGAGAATGATGCAATTAGCTCTTTAGCATACTTTCCATGTTTCCTCCCATGATGTATAAATGCTTTAACTTCGATGGAAAGGTGCGGTCCATTTTAAATGCCAGAGCAACATTGGTCAGGGGGCCAGTAGCCACAAGTGAGACCTGTTGAGTAATACATAAATACTGATCAAAGTGACTGAGAGATACAGAAGTCACATTGGTAAATGATATTGTAAACTTCAGAAGTTTAATAACTGTTTATGGATTGACAGAATCAACACAAATAAACACAAGGGAAGCAATAACTCTGTCAGGAATAAGCTGTAAAGGGACAGAGAGAAGCAGTTACATAGGGGATTGAAAGCAATGAGCCATGTCTGGGAATATAAGGAGTCAAGGCAATATGAACAAAACTGTTTTGACACCTGTTTGATAACTGGCTGCCTTATGCCAGAAGGACAAATGACTGATTGCTAAAGAATTTAAGGTGTTAATTGTAAGACATGCTGGGTTTTCAGCAGACAGTTAAGGTCAAATGTAACAAGGAACAGAGGAGTTACTTCTGATAAGGAAGTAAGCTGCAGACTCAAAAACTCCAGAACAGTAATCAATATTTTGGATGAAAAAAGCCAAATGATCACCAACAATGTCACCGCACAGATATGAAGATTAAAAATACTATAAGAATCCAATACCAGAACTCTTCAGCAGCAGAACTTTGAAGAACAACACTGCACAAGAATCAAACCCTGGACATCAGAGGCGACACTGTTGGTTGGACTCATAGCTAAATTCTACCATGAATCAGGTAATAGCCAAACTGAATTGTGAGGCTTAACTTGCTTATGTGAGGCGTCTTAATTTAGTTGCTACATGCCTTAAAGGTTCAATCATTGTTTCAGTTTTTGATTGTCTGTGAGATTTCATAATAAGTAGCTGAATTAAAGGTAGCTTGTGTTGATTTACTCATAACAGTAGCCTGTCACAATGGACTTGTGCAATAGGAAACTGTATTTTTTTATCTCTTTTAAGATTAAGTTCAAAACAAGGATGGCATTACTTTAGAATTAGAGCTAGGCTGTTCAGTGGTGATCTCAGAGAGTACTGTACTGTATAAAGTCTTGGCTAAGTTGGCAATTTATCACCTTACAAGTTTTGGAGAATAAGTAAATTGAACATTTAAAAGACTAAGATTTACAGATTTTTGTTAGGTAACATTAAGTAATACAGTGTCGAGGTGTGTTGTTATGTATCAGTCATGATCTAATTGAATGATTGAACAGGTTTCAAGAACTGAAATGTCTCCTATTCTCTGTCGCACTGACTAACGAATTGTATTTCATGATACATATACATCGTACTTGACCAGGATGTTCAGTGACTGTTCTTATGATGGCATTTACTGCATGTTCAGCTTGTATGTGTTCCAAACCTGGAGCATTACAATCTGGAACATCACCTAGACCATCCTTTCCATGGTACTGGCCACCATTTAGCTGATCTTCCAGAATAGATGCATCTGCACCACGATATACAGGAATCTGCAATCATAAGGATAAAAAACATCTTTAATAAAATTCATGGGAATGAAATGTAATGGTTGTTACATAGAATGATACCACATAAATATATGGATCTGGACTTCAAAGCCCTGTGTTACTAAGGCAGGATTTCTGGCCACAAACTGGCTCACCCTTAACTGTAACAAAAGGTCAGTTATAGAGAGGAGGTGGTTGACTGTATAAGCTTTCACACTGCCTGTGTTCGACCCATCCCGGGTCTTGATTCTTTTTACTTTGGGAGGAGGGAAATGATTTTAAAAAAACCCTTTCTGCCGCTTTTTGGAAAGCAATCAGTCTGTGATTGGTTGGCAGTTGTAAGCTTGTAACTGACACCGGTCACTGCATGAGGCAGGCATTCCTTATATTGGCCACAGGAGAACTTGACCAGTTGAGATTTTTAATCACAAACATCAGTTCACTGTTTCTGCATTCATCTCATCTGTCAGAAATTTGAATTCAAATTGAGACACCCCTCCTAATTCAATTTCCCAGCACCATATACAATCCACTTTGGTTCTGCCTTCCTAGGCTCAGGAATTTTGGGGCAGTTTTTTTTTCTGTGAGGGCCATGACGTTGTGAATTGTGTTTGAGTACAATTCTGCTGTTGCTGCTGCGAATAGACCACAGCAGCTCGTGGATGCCGAGTCTTGAGTAGCTCGGTCTGTTCAAAGTCTATCTCATTTAGCACAGTGATCGTGGTGCACAACAATATGGGGGTCATTCTCAACGTGAAGAAGGGACTTTGCCTCCACAAACAATGTGCAGCAATCACTTTTACTTTTCCAGAATGGGCAAAAATCTACAGAACAGAGGGATTTAAGAGTTTTCATCCATGAGTCACAAAAGACTAACATCCAAGTTCAATGGGTAATAGGGAGAGCAAGTTGAATGTTGGTCTTTATTTCAAAGGAAATGGAGAGGAGGTAGGGAGCTTTTTAAAAACCATACAAGGCACTAGTCAGACCACAACTGGAATACAGCAAACTGCTTTGGTCCCCTTATCTGAGCAAAGATGTACTGGCATTGGTGACAGTCCAGAGAATGTTCACTAGGCTGATTCTAGGTATGGAGCAACTGTCTTATAAGGATAGGTTGAGTAGGTTGGGTCTGTGCTCATTGGAATTTAGAAGAATGAGAAGCAACCTTATTGAAACATTCAAGATTCTTAAGAGACTTCACATGGTAGATGCAGAAAGGTTGGTTTCTCTTGTGGGAGAGACTAGGATCATCGAGTCATAGAGTCCTACAGCACGAAGACAGGCCATTCAGCCCAAGTGGGTCCATGCCGACCAAAATGTCCATCCACATTTCCCTGCACTTGACCCATATCCTTCTAACTCTTTACTATCCATGTATTCGTCCAAATGCCTTTTAAATGTTGTTAATGTACCCGCCTGAACCACTTCTACTGGAAGCTCATTCCATATGCGTACCACTCTCTGTGTAGAAAAAGTTGTCCCTCAGGTTCCCATGTATTCTTACCCCTCTTACCTTAAACTGATGCCCTGTAGTCCTTGATTTCCCAACCCTGGGAAAAAGACTGAGTGCATTCACCCTATCCATGCCTTTCATGATCTTATACGGTTCTATAAGATCCCCCTCAGGCTCCTACGCTCTAAAGAAAAAAGTCCTAGCTTGTCCAACCTCTCCTTATAACTCAGTCCCTTGAGTCCTGGCAATGTCCTTGTAAATTTCTTCTGCACTCTTTCCAGTTTAATAACATCTTTCCTATAGCAAGAACACAAAACTCCAAGTGCGGCCTCACCAACATCCTGTACAACTGCAACATAACTTCCCAACTTCTGTACTCAGTGCCCTGACTGATGAAGGCCAGTGTGCCAAACACCCTCTTCACTGCCCTGTCTACATGTAACTCCATTCTCAGAGAACCGTGCACCTGCAATCCAAGATCCATCTGTTCCACTACACTCCTTAAGACCATACCATTCACCATGAAACTCCTACCTGGATTTGACTTTCCAAAATGCAACACTTGACACTTATCTATATTAAACTCCATTTGCCATTTCTCAGCCCACTTCCCCAGCTGATTAAGATCCTGCTGCAATTTCTGATAACCTTCCTCGCTGTCCATAATACCACCTATTTTAGTGTGATCCGCAAACTTATTAATCATGCCTTGTACATTCTCATCCAAATCATTGATATAGATAACAAATAGCAATGGGCTCAGCAATGAACCCTGAGGCACACCACTAGTCACAGGCCTCCAATCCGACAAACATCCTTCCATTATTATGCCCTGCTTCCTACGATCAAGCCAATTGTGTATCCAGTTTGCCAGCTGTCCCTGGATTCCATGTGATCTAACCTTCCAGAGAAGCCTACCATGTGGGACCTTATCAAAGGCCTTACTGAAATCCAGATAGACTACATCTACCGCCCTGCCCTCATCAACCTTCCTGGTCACTTCATCAAAGAATTCTAACAAATTTGTCAGGCCTGATCTCCCATACACGAAGCCATGCTGACTATTCCTAATCAAACCCTGACTTTCTAAATGCATGTATATCTTATCCCTCAGAATCCTCTCAAGTAACTTACCTACCACAGATGTTAAGCTTACTGGTCTATAATTCCCAGGTTTTTCTTTGCAGCCCCTCTTGAATAAGGGCACAACATTCACTACTGTCCAGTCTTCCAGGACCTCACCTGTGGCCAACGATGATGCAAATATATCAGCCAGGGCCCCCTGCAATTTCTTCTCTAGCCTCTTGCAGGGTTCTTCGATATACCTGATCAGGATCAGGAAATTTATCCACCTACATACATCCTAAAACTTCCAACACCTCCTCTACTGTGATATGGACTGTCCCCAAGATATCGCCACTCATTTACCCAAGTTCCCAAGTCTTCATGTCTTCCTCCACGGTAAACACAGAGGAGAAATATTCATTGGGGACCTCACCTATCTCCTGCGGTTCCACACATACATGTCGACTTTGGTCCTTGAGGGGTCCTATTCTCTCTCTAGTTATTCTTTTCCCTTTAATATACTTAAAGAATCTCTTTGGATTCACCCTAATCTGCTCAGCAAAAGCTATCTCATGCCTCATTTTCGCCCTTCCGATTTCCTTCTTCAATAAACTCCTGTATCCCCTATATACCTCCAGGGTTTCTGTTGATCCCAGCTGCCTGTTCCTGAGCCGTGCCTCCTTTTTTTTGGTCGAAGCCTCAAAATTTCTTGTCATCCAGGGTTCCATTCTCCTGCCAACCTTGCCCTTCACCCTCACAAGAATATATAGGCCTTGAACTGTAGCCATCATATTTTTAAAGGTCTCCCACTTGCCAGAGGTCCCTTTGCCTGCAAACAAATGACTCCAGTCAACCCCTGTAAGCTCCTGTCTAATTCCATCAAAATTCATCTTGCCCCAGTTTAGAACTTGAACCTGTAGACCAGTTTTGTCCTTCTCCATAACTATTTTAAAATTAATACAACTGTGGTCCCTGGTCCCAAAGTGCTCCCCCACTGCCACCTCAGTCACCTGTCCTGCCCTATTTTGGGTTTGCACCTTCCCATGTAGGACCCTCTATATACGGTAATCTCCAGAAAGGGGTCACACATTTAAAACAGAAATGAGAAGGAATTATTGTCAGGGGACAGTGACTCTGTGGAATTCTTCGCCACAAAGAGCTGTTGAGGTTGGATCATTAAGTAAATTCAAGGAGAAGAGAAACAGATTTTTAATCAGTAAGGGAGTCAGGGTTAAAAGGGAAAAGGCAGGAAAGTGGAGTTGAGAATGACCAGATCAGCTACGATTTCATTGAATTTTGGAGCAGACTTGATGGGCTGAATAGCCTATTTCTGCTCCTACATCTTCTGGTCTTATGGTTTGACCAGCCATTGAAGAAAGTGCAGCAGATGATGTTATTTGACCTTACAGTTCTGAGATTGCATTCCCAATACCTACTGTTCACACATGGAAGGACAACAACCATGTCAATCATTCTAATTGGCAGAATGTTATTAATGGTGTCCAAAAGCTTTATATTGGGTCTCAAATATTCACAAGATTAACAAATTACACTCTGAAATAAAAAAAAACACACTTCCAATATGCAAAAGATATATAGCACACTAATCAGCATAAATTAAAAGATGCAATTTCAAACAGGTGCTGATAGGTTACCACAAAACTGTGGCAAGTGGATTTCAATGTAGGTAAATGTGAGATCATACATTTTTTGGTATCATTTAAATGGGTGAGGGGCAAATTATTAAGGAGTACATAAAAGATAGATAGAAAAAATGCAATTGGCTCTGGCTAGGGAACCTAGGAATTTGGACATTGTCTAAAATTTAGAGTCAGAACTTTCAGGAATGAAATCATGAAATGTTTCTACACACAAAGTATGGTAGAAATTTGGACCACTCTTCCGCAAATGGCAAATGATGCTACCTCAACTATAAACATTAATTCTGTTGATAGAATACATTGATAGTTTTTTTGCTAACTAAGGTTATTAATGAGAAACAAACAGAGGCAGACAACATTATATCGGGGAAAAAACTGATGGCAGACCAACTTAACATGTAATTTCTTTTCACAAAGGAGGACACAAACAATTCCCAAATATGTTGGGGAGCACAGGATCTAGTGAAAGGGAGGATGTGAAGGAAATCAGTGTTAGTAGAGAAGTGGTATAGGGGTAATTGATAGGATTAAAGGCCAATAAATCCCGAAGGCCTGATCCCAGACTACATAAGGAAGTGGCCCTAGGAATTGTGGATGTATTGGTGGTCATCTTTCAAGATTCTATCGGCTCTGGAAGAGTTCCTAAGGTTTGGAGGATTGCCAAATTAATACATTATTTAAAATGGGAGATAGAGAGAAAAAATGAAATTTTTGACTGATTAGCCTGGTATTTGTATAAGAAAAATACTCCAGCATTAGGGAAGACTTGATAGCAGAGCACTTGGTAAACGGTGACAGGTTTAGACAGAGTCAGCATTGATTTACAACAGGGAAATCATGTTTGACAAATGTATTGGAATTTTTCAAAGATGTAACTAATAGAGTTGATACGGGGAGCCAGTGGACTTTCAGAAGGCTCTCAATCAGGTCCCACACAAATGATTAGCATGTAAAACTAAAGCGCATGGAATTGGTGGTCATGTACTCACATGGATATGGAATTGGTCAGCAGCCAGAAACAAAGAGTTGGAAGAAATCAGTCTTTTTCTGAGTGGCATTGATTAGTTGAGTATCGTAGGGATCAGTACATTGACCCCAGCTCTTCACAATATATATTAATGATTTAGATGAAGGAGCTCAATGTAATATCACTGAGTTAACAGGTGAACAAAGCTGGGTGGTTGGGTTTCGAGGTAATACAGTGTGGAGTTGGAGGAACACAGCAGGCCAGGCAGCATCAAAGGGGCAGGAAAGCTGACGTTTCAGGTCGGGACCCAGGGTGGTTGGGTTAGTTGTGAAGAAAATGCAGAGATGCTCTGGTGTGATTACTATAAGTTCAATGAGTGTGCAAATGCATGGCAGATGCAGTATAATGTGGATAAAAGTGATGTTATCCACTTCAGTACAAAAACAGGAAGGCAGTTTCTTATCTGAATGGTGAAAGGGGGAGGTGCAACAAAACCTGGGTGTCCTTATACACCAGTCACTTCAAGTAAGCATGCAGGTGCAGAAGGTGGTGAAGGAACAAATGGTATGTTGGTCTTCATAGCAAAAAGATTCAAGTATTGGAGCAGGGATGTCTTGTTGCAATTGTACAGGGTCTTGGTGAGAGCACACTTGGAGTATTGTGTGCAGTTTTGGTCTCCTTTTCTGCGGAAGGGTATTCTGGCAATAGAAGGAGTACAATAATTCTTGGGATGGTAGGATTGGCATGTGAAGAAAGACTGGATTGGTTAGGACGATATTCACCAGAGTTGACCCTATAAAATTCTAACAGGACTAGGCACAGTAAATACAGGAAGGATGGTCTCCATGGCCAGATAGTCCAGAACCAGGGGTTACAGTCTAAGGATATTGGGTAGGTAGGTCATTTAGGACTGAGATGAGGAGAAATGTCTTAATCCAGGGAGCAGTAAGCCTGTGGAATTCTCTGCCACATAAAGCAGTTAAGACCAAAGCATTGAATATTTTCAGGAAGGATTTAGATATAGTTCTTAGAACGAAGGGTCTCAAATGGTTTGGGGAGAATGCAAGAACAAGGTACTGAGTTGGATTCTCTCACTGGCAGCGTTGTAGATCTACCCATAGCACAAAGACTGTAACAGTTCAAGAGGGCAGTTCATCTCCACCTTCTCAAGGTCAACTAGGGATAGGCACTGAATGCTAATCCTGCCACAACCCACACGTCCAATAAGTGAATAAAAAAGTCAGCCATCACCACATTGAATGACAGAGCACCCTCAAAGAGCCAAATATAATATATAGCACACAGTACCCTTGCGCACAATTGCCATCACATACCTCTGTCCTCTGGCAAACTTTTAGCACTCGAAGTACATTCTTGCACACATTTTCAATGTTTGTATTTCCATGAGCGCATGTTATACCCAGGATCTGCACATTAGGAGCTGCAAGAGCCATCATAATTGCTTGCGCATCATCCACTCCACAGTCAACGTCTAAGAGCAACAGCTTCTTTGACATCTTGAAACTTGTGGCCTAAAAAAAAGGTAAGATTGAATTTAAAACATAGGATTATAGAGCAGGAATACTGTGTTGACCTAGTACCATTCAGCTACAAGGCCTGCTGTGCTAACCTAGATCAGGGCTGATCATCGACCTTAACTCCGTATTCCTGCTCTGTACCCATATACCTTGATGTCATGTGCAACCACAAATCTATTAATGTCTAACTTGAAAACAAAAGTTTTTGGCTTTATGATCTGGGATTAATACACTGGCTGCATTGAACACTGATGAGAGAATGGGAAGATGTAACTTTTTAGCATTGCAAACATTGTTTATTTGCTGCTTCTTTTAGTATGACTTCAAACCAATCAATATGAGTTGGGTTTGAGGCAGGCTGGTCAACGTCAGTCTTCAGGCTTGGACTTCAAAGTAACACTATTTATTATACTTTAACACATGGTAGACCTATAATCTGACTTACAGTTACATTAGATAATAACTAATCTTTCGTCATTTTGTGTTCATGTCCCTATGTTATTTGTGTTTCTTCCAGGCAGATTGCCCTCATCTGTTTAACTCCACTTGCACTGTAGTATTTATCCCCAATGCAGTTTCTTAACATCATCACAAAGTTACTCCAAGTTTCTAATGCACTTACACAACACCCCATCCCAAATTTTGTTTCATTTGCCTTAACCACTGACCCATGATGCTGGCAAAAGTATCAAGTTTAAATTTGGTGGGATGACAATTTATAGACAATTTCTGTCAAATCTACATCAGGCAACTGTTTAAATTCTCCTCGGGAATGGAAAGAAATGTATTCTATTGCAGTATTGACCTGTTCTTTAAGGAGCTGTTCCAAGGTATGAGTCTGAATATTGGTCAGAGACAAATTTCACTTAATTTAGTGCTTGGTTTATTGTTCAGAATGACTCACAACTTTGAGAAGTGACCTTTTTCTCTACAATATTAATTTTGGAAGGTTAGACAGTCTTGTCCTCATTGATGTAAGAGTTTGGAAACACATCGGTGACAAGATACTGTCGTATTCAATTGCTTAGAGTTTCACGTTGACGCTGTCACGTGCAGCATATTGTTCAGGTTAGATGTCAGTGTTTTACATCATCCACACTCTTGTAGAATGTTCTGAATTAAATTTACATTTGTTGTGTAATACCTCTTTGGCAGTTTTCAAGATCCTGTTTTTAAGGCAGCTCTTTCTAGAGTGCTTATTTGGGAGATGGCGTGTTTTTCACTGGGAGGTCAGTTCACAAAGTATGTATGTGCAAAAAGTTTCTGCTTGTGTAATCTAAACCTTTTCTTAATGTCAGGAGACATAGCATAAGATTCAATGTTTTCCTGACTATATTAAAGATGACTGCTGGTCTTTTGACTGTATCAAAATGCATGCCAAAAAAGACTTCTACATTATTGAATAAAACTTGCCTTTCTTGCTCAAAATGTTGAAATCACAATGATTTGGGTGAGAAAACCATCACCTGAAAATTCCCCTCTAAGCCACTCACCACCCTGGCTGGGAAATTGAGTGCCATTCCTTCAGTATCACTGGATCAAAACCCTGGACCTCCCTCACTCATGGTATTATGGGTCTACCTACACCAAATGGACTGCGGCAGTACATGAAGGCATCTCACCACCACTTTCTCAAGGTCAGTTGGGGACGGGCAATAAATGCTAGCCCTGCCAGCAACAATCAGGTACCACTAGTGATATTTGAGAAGTTTTGACCAACCTCACTCCTTACTTGCCTATCATTTACCAGGTGTTTTGATTTCATATTGAGTGTTTGGGTTCATTAAACACCGGCCAAGAAGAAGGCAAAGTCAAGGACTGTTGTAGAGTCATAGAGTCATACAGTACAGAAACAGGCCCTCCAGTTCAACCCTTCTGCATCAACCAAACATCCCAGTCTAACCTAGTCCCGTTTGTCAGCATTTAGCCCATATCCCTCTAAACCCTTCCTATTCAAATACCAACCAGGTGTCTTTTATATGTTGTTTATGAACCCACCTCTACCACTTCCCCTGGCAGCTCATTCCAGATATGCACCACCCTCTGCATGAAAAAGTTAGCCCTCAGGTCCTGTTCAAATCTTTCCCCTGTCACCTTAAACTTTTGTCCTCTACCCTACTTTGCGAAAAAGACCTTGGCTATTCACTCTATCCAAGCCCCTCATGATTTTATAAACCTCTATAAGGTCGCTCCTCAGCCTCCAATGCTCCAGGGGGAAAGGCCCCAGCCTATTCAGCCTCTCCCTATAGCATAAGCCCTCCAATCTCAGTAACATCCTTGTAATTCTCTTCTGCATCCTCTCAAGTTTAACAACATCCTTCCTATAGAAGGGTGACCAGATTTGCTTTATCTGGCCAGTGTTCTGTTTTTTCTTGATGTAAAATATTGATCAAAAGCTGCTGGGGTGACAGTCAAACAAAATTACTTCTCATCTGTTGTTTGCATGGCACACGATCTGATATTCTTCCCATGTGGTACAGCAGTATTCCGAAAGTGGCCTAACCAATGTCCTGTATAGCTGTAACATGATATTCCAACTCCTACACTCAGTGTCATGACCAATGAGGGCAAGCACATCAAACGCCTTCTTCACCATCCTGTCTACCTGTGAATCCACTTTCAAGGAATATGCACCTGCACCCCTAGGTCTCCTTGTTCAGCAACACTCCCCAGGGCGCTACGATTTACTACATAAGTCCTGCCCTGGTTTGCCTTACTAAAATGCAACACCTCACATTTATCTAAATTAAACTCCATCTGCCACTCCTCAGCCCATTGGCCCATCTAAGCAAGGTCTTGCTGCACTCAGAGATAATCTTCTTCACTGTCCACCACATCACCTAGTTTGGTGCCATCTGCAAACTTACTGAGTATACCTCATATATTCACATCAAATAATTCGTACAAATGATGAAAAGCAATGGAACCAGCACCGATCCTTGTGGCACACCACAGGTCATAGAAAAACTTTTCTCCACCACCACCTTCTGGCTCCTACCTTCAAGTCAATTTTGTATACAATTGGCAAGCTCTCCCTGGACCCCATATGATCTAACCTTACTAACCATTCTACCATGCGGAACCTTGTTGAATGCTTTACTGAAGTCCATATAGACAATGTTTACAGCTGTGCCTTCAATCTTCTTTGTCACCTCTTCAAAAACTCAATCAAGTTAGTAAGACTTGACCTCCCACACACAAAGCCATGCTGATTATCCCTAATCATTCCCTGCCTTCCCAAATGCATGTAAATATTGTCAGGATTTGACTTCAAAGTAACACTATTATCTTTCTTCCTGAATACTATTATATATGGTTATCATATACCAGGCCCTGCTTTATAGTTACATTAGGTAATGACTAATTTTTCTTCATCATGCATTCAAGTCCATGTCCTCTCTGAATATCTTCCAAACAGTCTCACATTCTGGTCATCATTCTAGTCCATTCTAATTTATACCCAGTGGATGTACAGCTCTGTAATATCATTATATGGTTGCACCAGGGTCTTAATGCCCTTACACAGCACTGCTGACTGAAAAACTGTAACATGAATGAAAAGTTAACATTTAGTTTTCTAATACTCAGCCAACTGCTCCTGCTTAACTGAAGTACAATGAACCTTAAGCTCCTGATTGTTTGGAAGTCCAGTATACTCGGACAATGTCTGTACAAAAATTAGGAAAGTATACTTTTGACTATTTTTTCAGCACAATGACATAAGCTACAATATCCTGGAAATTTCTCCATAAACTGCCTCAGCTGAGCTTGAAGGGCTGTGTTTATTTGTGGCCCAAACACTACGGGGAGAGCTTTCTACACATGCACAAATGTAGGGTTACATCATGTTTAAAGTGAGAGATGCCTTTAAGTATTAAATGCAGTTTGTTTTCTGCTTCTGCGTTACCATTTTTTGTTTGCAAGCATGTGTCTTTTAATTGTTTCTTGCACTAAAAATACTTTGGAGCTTTATTTATGATGCAGAGTTTTATTTAAGGTTAAGGTTTGCAAGTTATTGAGTAAAACAAATGATTTTCAAATAATTCCAATTGCAAATACAAGATATCTGGAAGTGGAAAGTAGATCATTTCCATCAGTAACTAGTTAAAAAGTTAAGAAAAATACAAATTTGATTGAACATATAAAATGAACCAACATCTAAATCAGGTTTGAAACGATAACCTAGAATTTGTGGGATGACAGCCAAGTGGTATTATCATTAGACTATTAATCCAGAGGCTGCTCCAGGACATGTTCTAGGTACCAGCATCGACATCCTGCTGTAGTAGATGGTAGAATTTGAATCAATTAAAAATTCTGGAAGTCAGAGTCTCATGATGAGCATGAACTTATTGTTGACTGTCAGAAAAACCTATCTGGATCACTGATGTCCTTTAGGAAGGAAATTGACCTGAAATGCACAACAATGTGGTCAAATCTTAACTTCTCTCTGAAATAGCTTGACAAACCATTCAGTTGTATAAGCCTTGCTAAAAAGGTGTCCTTGTATTTTTCTAACACTCAGCCCATTGCTCCCACTTAATTGAACAACAATTAACCCTAAGCTCTTGACAGTTTGAAAGAATCAAAGAATGAAAAGGTATGGACAACCTGGCATCGACCTAGGCACCTGAAATGACAACAGAAAAACAGCCCTATCAACCCTTCGAAGTCCCCCTTACTACCTGTCGGAGTTGCCCTGGAAGTTCTCAATATTGACTCTGGACACCTTCAGGTCTCATGGCATCTGGTCAAAAATGGGCAAGGAAATCTCCAATTAATTACCATGTCCACCCTCAGCTGATGAATCAGTGCTCATCCACATTGGGTAACACTTGAAGGAAGTACTCGGAAGGTGAAAAACGCACAGAGTGTGCTGTGGGTGGGGGATTTCAATGTCCATCATTAGAGTATCAGTAGCAGTAGTACTGATCCAGTCAGTTGAGTCCTTTAGGACA